CCCCGAGAGACGGACACTGAGGACGTCAGCGTCCCCGACGGCGTGGACCTGCTGGCCCTGCCTCAGCTGTGCTTCCCAGGTACCTGCCCCCGATGCACGTGCTGAGGCCACACCGTGACCTGCGTCCGGAAGCCACCGCATTCGGGGGAGGGAGCGTGCAGCTGGAGGGGAGCTGGCCACCCTCGGGCCTGCGTCCTGTCCCAGGACTGCGCTGTCTTTTTTTCTCTTTTTTAAATATATTTTTATTGATGTCAGAGAGGCAGGGAGAGGGAGAGAGAGAGAGAAACATCCATGAGGAGAGAGAATCATTGATGGGCTGACTCCTGCACACCCCACACTGGGGATGGAGCCCACAACCCGGGCCTGTGCCCTGACCGGGAATTGAACCGTGACCTCCTGGTTCACAGGGCGACGCTCACCCACTGAGCCACACGGGCCGGGCAGGACTGAGCTGTCTTGATCTTGGGGTTTCAACACTAAAAGGCAGCTGGGCTTCCAGCACAGCCCCTGGCCGTTGGACGGCTGAGTCCTGGCGGGGTCGCGTGGCGTGTTCACGATGCTTTGAAAGCATTTCATCCTCAGGGGCCTGGCAGGGGCTTGTGATGTCAGGTGAGCCAGTTCCGGCCCCTCCCACCTGTCTCCTGGGTCTCCGGGGCCAGATGCACAGGTTGTGCTTTTCCCCCCAAACCGGCCAGGTCTGCAGACAGCAGGGTACGTGCCGGGCTGCACTTCCTGGCTGGTCGTGGAGAAACGGCACACAGGCGGGTGTGGAACACGCAGACTGAGGACTGGACATCAGTGCCTGTCCGGCCGTTTCCACGGGAAACTGCTGCTGCTGCCTCGTTTCGGGGACGATACCCCAGGGGTCCCCGTGCTCAGGAAGCAGTGGCCACTCTGGCTTCACAGATTCTTTCTCCTTTCCGCCTGCAGGGGGCCTGTGTGTGGCCTCGGAACCTCAGGAGGACCGTGTCCACTTCCTGGTGCTGACGGACGTCTGCGGGAACAGGACGTACGCCGCGGTGGCCCAGTACTACCGGCCGCTGCACGTAGGTGGCTCCCGCGCCTGCCCTCTGACATCGGGTCCCGGTTGGGTTCCTAGGACCACCCCATTTTTCAGATGAGAAAATGGTGGCACAGAGAGGTCAAGTGACTTGCCTGGGATCACACAGCGGCCAGGATTTGAACTTGAGCAGACCGACGCTCAAGAGTGTGCACTCACTGCACGGTGGTGGGCAGACGACGTGGCCGACTGTCTCCAGGGCTCTCCCTCTTCCTGGCCGTCTACCTTACAGTGACCTCAGTTCACAAAGTCCCTGACGGAAGCTGTCCTCACGCTCCTCCATCCCCACCCAAACCCCCTCCAAAGCCCCCTCCCAACAGCCTAGAGATTATGGCCCCCAGATAGTGCCCCGCGTGGAGCAGTGCCTCTGGGGGGCGCTGCTGAGCTGTTTCACGCCCAGGTCCCTCCTGCTCCTCCTCCGTGACACCCCCTGGCTCCCAGCCCCCGCTGCCGCACTTGCTCCTGTTCAGCCAAGCCCTGTGGCCCCTCTGGTGTCGGCTTTTCTACCTGCATCCCCTCCCCCGAGGCCGTGAGTTTCCCCAGCGCACGGACGTGCCTTCCCTTCTTTGTAACCTTTTAAAAAATATTTTTATTGATTTCAGAGAGGAAGGGAGAGGGAGAGAGAGAGACATCCATGATGAGAGAGGACCATTGATCGGCTGCCTCCTGCACCCCCCACCACCTGTGCATCTGGCCCCGGGGACCCAGGAGACAGGTGGGAGGGGGCGGAACTGGCTCACCTGACACCACAGCCCCTGCCAGGCCCCCGAGGATGACGGAACGTGGGGCTGAAAATGCTTTAAAAGCACCATAAACACCCCCCTGGGGACGGAGCCCGCACCCGGCCTGTGCCCTGCCCGGGAGTGGAACTGACCGGAGGGGGTTGGGAGGGGGACTGGGTCCCGCCCTGCGGCCCCGCCTCTGTCTGGAGCCCGGGCACGAGGAGGATGCACACGGGGCGCCGGGCGGGAGGTGACGCCCCGCTCTCTCCCAGGACGAGCACTGCTTCTACGGCGGCAAGCCCCCCCGCGAGTCCCCGCTGAGCCCGGGCGCCGCCGGCTGCTTCGTGCCCTTCGCCGTGTGCGTGATCTCGCGGTTCCCCTACTACAACGCCCTCAGGGACTGCCTGTCCTGGTGAGCCGCCCCCCCCCGCCCTCGGCTGCGGCCACCCTAACACCCTGACCCGGGCAGGCTCGGGAGCGCGTGTGGGAACCCCGATCCGGGCGAGGCTAGCCTGGGGCCGAGGGACAGGGAGGGGAGGTGGGGCACGGTCGGAAGTCATGATACTGGGATCTGAGAAGGGGACGTGAATCAGGAAAACGCCTTCCCTGGCTGTCAGAAAATCAGCGCTGCTGTCAGTTCTGATTTTTGTTTGCATTTTATTTTTTTATTTATTTTTAAAATATATTTTTATTGATTTCAGAGAGGGAGAGAGAGAGAGAGAGAGAGAGAGAGAGAGAGAAACATCATGATGAGATTCATGGATCGGCTGCCTCCTGCACGCCCCACAACTGGGGATCGAGCCCACAAACCCAGGCCTGTACCCAGTGACCTCCTGGGTCATAGGTCGACGCTCACCCACTGAGCCACACCCGCCGGCCGGGCTTTGCTGGCATTTTGACAGTTTCCCTTCGGGGTAGAAGAGCTGACTTAACGCTGATGCTGAGTTGGAAGCCGGAGGACGCAGAGAAGGTCCGGGAAACCGGAGAGCACTCCATTGGCCCGATCCACCGCCTCGCGGGGGGGTGGCCGCGAGGACCCTGCAGGCAGCCCTGCCCCGAGCTCCGCTCTTGGAATCGGGGTGGTGATCGCAGACGGCGCGGAAGGCGTGGGCAGCGAGAGCCACGTGCGCAGGCCCCGCGTCCCGCTGGTTCCGCTGGCGGACAGTCCATCGGGACTCCCCTGGGTCGGGCTGAGCCGGAATCCTCTCCGGCAAACGAGCCGTGTCCGTCCTCAAGTCCCAGCACCCAGTTGTAGTTCGTAAACGGGCCGTCTCCGGACACGGGGGTCCAGCCTGCATTTATGGCCGCGGGCGTCACACAGGCCGTGGAACGGGGAGCTGAATGTTTCTCTTTAAATTTCAGTTTGTTGACCCACCTGAAGCTCTGCAGGGATTTCGAGGTTGACAATCACATCAGAGACTTCGCTGCGAAAGTCTCCCTGATCCCCAGCCCGCCGCCGGGGCCGCTGCACCTGGTAAGCTCTCCCGTGTCTCTGCAGACAGACGGTGACGTGATGAAGGCGCTTCCGTGTTTTTCCTAAAACATTTCCCGAGTCTCCACGTTGGTTCTCGAGTTCCTGACACGCCTTTTACACACTAGCCCTAAAGGCCAAATCACTGAAAGTAGAAATTTATTTTCTAAAAGTTTAGCAATGACGCTTTGTTCTCGCGTCCGGCAGGCAGGCCTCGAGCTCCGCGGATTGGCCCTGGTGAGTGGGTGTGGAGCTGGTCACCGGCCGCCTGGGGAGTTAACCCGCCAGTTCATCAATCCCTACGCAGAAATCGCGTAGCATTTACTTAAATTACACATTTCCCACTTGTTTCTCTAGAATATCAGGCAATATATTTAACTAGTTAATGTTTTCTCCTGTCCGGTGTGATTAATGATATATATATATATATATATTTATTTAGTTAGTTAATGAACAACCATTTCCCAAACTGGGTTCCGTGGAACCCCCCCCCCGCCCAGCCAGCTGTTTTTGGCTGTTTCGTGACAGGAGGATTTCAGGGTTCAGGAGGGTTCGGGACAGGTAGACCACACTCTGTCTTTGTTGAGTAACAGCTCTCAGACTGCACGTGATGCAACCTGTGTGACTCAGCGGTTTTCAGGCTGATGTAGCTGTGAGATGCTTCCTTTTAAAAAACCAAACCAAACCCAGAAAACCAGGCCCGTTAAATACGCGCTAGCAGCTGTAGGGACTGCGCGTCCACGTCGCTCTCCTAGTCCCTCGGCAACGCCGCACACGTCTTGGCCCTTTACACGTTGGTTATTGCCAGTTGAGAATGTGTTGCATGTGAGTCACGTGATTAGGAACCTAGTGCGTCTTTGCAACACGGCCCTGAGCCCGGCCTCTGCTAGGGAGGAAGTCCTGCCGATGCATCGGGCAGCAGGCCTCGGCCTCGGCCCTGCCCCAGACCCCGCAGGGACCCGCGTGGGGACGTGCTGGCGGGCACTCCCTCTGTCGGGGGGCAGTTGGCACTTGTGTACTGTGCAGCGACGTTCTTGCTCTGAACTCTGCAAGGACTCCCAGAGGACCTGCTGCCGCAGATCTGAGCGCTTCTCCGTTCTCTCCCCCGGGACCTGGCTCGTACTTAGGGCATCCGTTCTGCTCATCTGCGGGCTCCAGGGCCGGGCGGGCACCCAGTGGGCACCCTGCGGGCACCCAGCATTCCCCGAGCGCCTCCCATGTCGTGTGGCTGATTCTGGGGACCCCGAGTGGAGGGGGCCGTAGCTTCCTCCTGGGCCCTCTGTGTCCTTAAACATGTGACAGGCGTTCTGTGAATACGCAATTTAAAGCGTTATTCTAAAATATTTAGAAAAATGAAGTCTTTTAAAAAATGGTTTAAATGACACGTCTTTAAGGAACTTTGACCATTAAATACTAAGAGAAGACGTCGCTGTAACTGCGAATGATGACGACTAGCTCAGGGTCATTTGAAGGCCATTGATGTAGGATCGGTGTTGGTTCTGCTAGAATTCTAGAGTTTGAGGAAGTCTGGCCGAGAAAACCGTGAGGGCCGGGCTCTGCGGCCCCTGAGCACCTGTCCTGTGTGTCTCCGGACGGAGGTTCTGTGACCCACAGGGTGGCCGCACGAGTCTCCTCAGTGTCCCCCGACTCCAGTGCTCTCTGAGCCCAAACCGTGGGTGTGGGTGCGTTCCCGCCTCCGCTGGGCGGCTCTGCGCTAACACGGCCGCGTCCCTGCAGATCTTCAACCTGAAGCCGCTGCAGATCGTGTTCCCCTCGCGCGCGGACCCCGAGAGCCCCGTCATCGACCTGGACCTCCACCTGCCGCTGCTGTGCTTCCGGCCCGAGAAGGTGCTGCAGGTGCGCGCCCCCCACACCCGGGCGCGTCCGCCCCTCGGCCTCACGGGCATCAGAGCTACTGTTGTATCAGAGAGGACTCGCACGCCAGCGTCTCCCACAACATAAGACCCATGTACTCCAAGTGTTAATTTCCTTTTTTAGAGAGAGTGGGGGGGGGGGGGAAGAGAGAGAGAAACATCGATGTGAGAGAGACACATTGATTGGCTACCTCCTGCACTGGTCCTGACCAGGGCCGGGGATGGGGTCTGCAGCTCAGGTATGTGCCCTTGACCAGGAGTTGAACCCACGACCCCTTGGTGCTCAGACCAGTGCTCTAACTATTGAGCACACTGGCCAGGGCTCAGAATGTTAAATTTTTTAAAAATATATTTTTGTTGATTTTAGAGAGGAAGGGAGAGGAAGAGAGAGATGGAAACATCAGTGATGAGAGAGAATCATTGACTGGCTGCCTCCTGCACGTCCTCTATTGGGGATCGAGCCTGCAACCCCGGCCTGTGCCCTGATTGGGAATCAAACCGGTGACCTCTTGGTTCCTGGGTCAATGCTCAACCGCTGAGCCACACCCAGCCGGGTAAATGTTAATTTTTTTTGTTTAAAAATTTTAGCATTCGCTGCTGTGCACACTATTTACAAATTGCTGCTTTTTGGGGGAATCCCGGTGGCTTTTGTTTCGGCGAGTGGAGCAGGGAAACCCGGGCAGAAGCGGCACCCGGGTTCTGGCTTTGCTGGGGGCTCACGGCGTCCGCGGCCCGTCCGTCCCCGCAGATCCTGGCGTGCCTGCTGACGGAGCAGCGGCTGGTCTTCTTCTCGGCGAGCTGGGCGCTGCTGACGCTGGTGGCCGAGTGCTTCCTGGCCTACCTGCACCCGCTGCGCTGGCAGCACACGCTCGTGCCCATCCTGTCCGGGCAGATGCTGGACTTCCTCATGGCGCCCACCGCCTTCCTCATGGGCTGCCACCTCAGCCACTTGGAAGAAGTCAGCAAGGTCAGGTACCGGTGGGGTCCCACCTCACCTTCTGGCGAGGGCGCCCGGCAGGGGCGCCGGGCGGTGACCTGCAGATTCCCGGCACATTCCGGGCCGCTGACGCGGGGCCTCTGGTGTGTGGTTGTGTGTTTTGTCGCAGATAAGACCTCACAAGGAGGCCGGGCACATATTTTAAACATCCCAAGTGTGTGCGGTCACCGCGCCGGGGCCCTGCCCAGCCGGGTCCTTGGAGGCGCAGAGCAGGCAGGGCAGCCGGACAGACACGTCGGGCGTAGAATGTTGGTGATGCTCTCGCTGGAGTTCTGGAAGGTTCTCTCCAGGCTCCTCGAAGGAGCGCTGCAGTGTTGGTACCAGGGCAGGCGGAAGCCCGGCGACGCGCACTGAGGTCCTGGCTCAGACACAGGCCTTTAGCTCGTCAGCATCACTCAGGTGTTGACCCACTTTTGGTCGAGATCACATAAGGCTCTGTGTCTACGTGAGGTTTTTAAAAAATATGTTAAAACATATATTTTTATTGATTTTAGAGAAGAAGGGAGAGGGAGAGAAAGGGGCATAAATGATGAGAGAGAATCATGGATGGGCTGCCTCCTGCACGCCCCACACTGGGGATCGAGCCCACAACCTGGGCATGTGCCCTGACTGGGAATTGAACCCTGACCTCCTGGTTCATAGGTTGACGACGCTCACCCACTGAGCCACCCGTCCGGGCCGAGTCGGGTAGTTTAGTGATGAGGACACTGCCTCCGGGTGTGCACGTGCATTCTGTGTTCTCACA